GATTGGTTGATGATTTCAGTAATATATGGAATAATGTTTCAAGTCATTACATATATGTACATATAAATATATATATATATATATATATATATATATATATTATCCTAAACAATCTAAATGCTAAATTGACACAAATCCCCCGAATCTCAGTGAGGTTTAGAAAACTGTAGCTAATAAGGTAAAGCGATAATAGTCGAACGGCCTTATGAAATTAACGCGGTAGATCAGTGAAGATGATGGTCAAGTTTTAGTTGAACTGAATGAAATACTAGCTAGAACTTTGGAAATAAATAAATAAATAAATAAATAAATAAATATATATATATATATATATATATATATATATATATATTGTTAACCATAAACCCTCTAGTTTTGACTTTCTAAACTTTTCTCACTGAATCATATTTCTTGAATATCTTCTAACCCTAACCTCTTCGATTACTTCAAATACCTGTACTACCTCTTCTACCATTGGATTTGAATTGACAATTATATCTCTGTGCTGACATGGTATGGCAACATGAACCCTAACCCTAACCATGAATCGATCAATGTTAGACCACCATTAGAAACCTAGAAGCACTGGACGGCCGTTTCGTCCTGATATGGGACTCATCAGCAGTGCGCATCCACGACTCTTGCACCCCGCAGGATTCGAACCCAGGACCTTCGGTATTGTGCGCGAATGCCCTAACCGTTAGACCACTGAGCCAGTATCTAACGGTGTTCATGTCTAACTTGATCAAATTCACGGAGTAGCTCAACCTCATACCCTGTATACATCCGGACAGGTTTGAACTTCACTATTTCTAATGGTTGTGGTCTAACATTGATCGATTCATGGTTACAAATAAAACGTAACAATCTTCGCAACAACCCCGCAATATATATATATATATATATATATATAATTACTAAACATACCGCTAGCAGTGTAAACATTATCATTTTCAGCATAATGTGCACCAAATACTTGAGGTTCAGTGCGTATTTTTTTAGTGGCATTAATTTAACTTTCAATATTTGATTTCCATACCTTGAATTATGCATAATGAAAAGAACAAACAAGACGATATTAAAAGAACAAATGTCAGTCAACATCAAGTCTATGTATGATGCAAATGAATTTAGCTGACAAGTCCTAACTCCCCCAAGAATGGATCTTCCAATAACTACTAGGGCCGATTTAAGCCCCAGATAGATATTCACCTTTTATTGTATAAACCTTGCGAAAAAAAACATTGTCGCCACGAGAAGAATTCACTATCAGTGGCTCTATAGATGTATGGTCATGTGAGAGTATTTGGAGAAAGCGAGTAGATTCTCCATATATATACTTCAAGGTAGCCGAAACGATTTACAGGTTTCGAATATACATTTTATGTGTGAAGAGTTAGTAAGTCATGGAGATAAGGGCGATGTTAGGGGGTGTAGGAAGGATTCGATTATGACCCATTTGAACTCGCTTGCTGTTGTTGAGTATGAGGGCAGTTATCACTTTCCGGCTGCCCACATCGTGGAAGGGTGTTTCTTGAGGAACCTGAAACAGAAAGTAGATTAGCGTTGGTCTTAGAGACCTGAGAGCGTGACTGCAGACTTCAAGGGACAACTGCTTGAGGCCGGTCACCCACAGCCTTTTTATTAAAGGTTTTTTGAGTGTTAGCTCCGCTCTTGAAAGCCCATAGTGGGCACCCTTACCGACAGAGACGAAAATCCATACGGTAGGGTGAGGTGTAACATTTTTAGGATCGACCTTTTCTAACGTTTCCTTCCTTGTCAGAAGGCAGTATCACTGCAGATGCTGGTTGTCCGAGAGAAACACCTTACTGCTGTCACACCCCTCTTCAGTCAGTCAGCAGTATGACTTCGCTCTCAAACCTTGAGTAGCTGTTTTTAGTTTCATCGTTCTCTAATCGACCTGCCTGGCATGGTAGAACCTTCAGGAACATAAATTCCAACCAATATAGCTCGGTTGGGTCATCACGATAGGCAAGCCCCATCACCACCACCACCACGTCAAGGTAACAGCTACGGTCGAGATGAGAACAGAAAACCTTGGAACAGTCCTTTTTTTGAATGCTAAGAATAATTGAAGCATCATACTCTAACACCCTCCCCATTACCAGTAATACTTCTACTATCTCTACCAACAAGGGACTTGAACTGCGTCTCTGTGCTGATGCAATATGTCAACCGTAAACTGATGTACTCATCCACGAAGTTCTACGTTGTAACTAACTAACTGACTAACTGACAGAGTCAGCTGTTGCCTATGCTTCATTAAGCGTAACAAGCGTAAACAAAGTAATAATTAAGTAATAACAACAACAACAACAACAACAAGAACCAAATTGAAATCAATCAAGAAAATACCGTTTACTTACTTTTGGTAGACCATATCCACATGGATGATAAGCAGTACGTCCTATACGACTTTTACGTCGTGCTATACGTCTTTTCACAATAATCAATATACTAATTAAAATAATTACACCAATAGCTAATAGAACTAAGAATAATGCTAAAGCAATATGTTGTGTTGGCATTAATTATTATTATTATTATTATCATGAATGACAAAAGGTAAATTTGTAACACATGAGATATGAGTACATTTACATTACGCAACACTACACTACAATTGACAGAAAGAAAAATAAAATAAAAGGAAAGAAAAATAATAATCAGTATGAAGTGAATGTTTACAAAAAAAAATATATATATATATATATATTTGTAAACATTCACTTCATACTGATTATTATTTTTCTTTCCTTTTATTTTATTTTTCTTTCTGTCAATTGTAGTGTAGTGTTGCGTAATGTAAATGTACTCATATCTCATGTGTTACAAATTTACCTTTTCTCATTCATGATAATAATAATAATAATAATAATAATAATTAATGCCAACACAACATATTGCCTTAGCATTATTCTTAGTTCTATTAGCTATTGGTGTAATTATTTTAATTAGTATATTGATTATTGTGAAAAGACGTATAGCACGACGTAAAAGTCGTATAGGACGTACTGCTTATCATCCATGTGGATATGGTCTACCAAAAGTAAGTAAACGGTATTTTCTTGATTGATTTCAATTTGGTTCTTGTTGTTGTTGTTGTTGTTATTATTACTTAATTATTACTTTGTTTACGCTTGTTACGCTTAATGAAGCATAGGCAACAGCTGACTCTGTCAGTCAGTCAGTCAGTCAGTTAGTTACAACGTAGAACTTCGTGGATGAGTACATCAGTTTACGGTTGACATATTGCATCAGCACAGAGACGCAGTTCAAGTCCCTTGTTGGTAGAGATAGTAGAAGTATTACTGGTAATGGGGAGGGTGTTAGAGTATGATGCTTCAATTATTCTTAGCATTCAAAAAAAGGACTGTTCCAAGGTTTTCTGTTCTCATCTCGACCGTAGCTGTTACCTTGACGTGGTGGTGGTGGTGATGGGGCTTGCCTATCGTGATGACCCAACCGAGCTATATTGGTTGGAATTTATGTTCCTGAAGGTTCTACCATGCCAGGCAGGTCGATTAGAGAACGATGAAACTAAAAACAGCTACTCAAGGTTTGAGAGCGAAGTCATACTGCTGACTGACTGAAGAGGGGTGTGACAGCAGTAAGGTGTTTCTCTCGGACAACCAGCATCTGCAGTGATACTGCCTTCTGACAAGGAAGGAAGCGTTAGAAAAGGTCGATCCTAAAAATGTTACACCTCACCCTACCTTATAGATTTCCGTCTCTGTCGGTAAGGGTGCCCACTATGGGCTTTCAAGAGCGGAGCTAACACTCAAAAAACCTTTAATAAAAAGGCTGTGCGTGACCGGCCTCAAGCAGTTGTCCCTTGAAGTCTGCAGTCACGCTCTCAGGTCTCTAAGACCAACGCTAATCTACTTTCTGTTTCAGGTTCCTCAAGAAACACCCTTCCACGATGTGGGCAGCCGGAAAGTGATAACTGCCCTCATACTCAATAACAGCAAGCGAGTTCAAATCGGTCATAATCGAATCCTTCCTACACCCCCTAACATCGCCCTTATCTCCACGACTTACTAACTCTTCACACATAAAATGTATATTCGAAACCTGTAAATTGTTTCGGCTACCTTGAAGTATATATATGGAGAATCTACTCGCTTTCTCCAAATACTCTCACATGACCATACATCTATAGAGCCACTGATAGTGAATTCTTCTCGTGGCGACAATGTTTTTTTTTTCGCAAGGTTTATACAATAAAAGGTGAATATCTATCTGGGGCTTAAATCGGCCCTAGTAGTTATTGGAAGATCCACTCTTGGGGGAGTTAGGACTTGTCAGCTATAAATTCATTTGCATCATACATAGACTTGATGTTGACTGACATTTGTTCTTTTAATATCGTCTTGTTTGTTCTTTTCATTATGCATAATTCAAGGTATGGAAATCAAATATTGAAAAGAAAATTAATGCCACTATAAAAATACGCACTGAACCTCAAGTATTTGGTGCACATTATGCTGAAAATGATAATGTTTACACTGCTAGCGGTATGTTTAGTAATTATATATATATATATATATATATATATATATTGCGGGGTTGTTGCGAAGATTGTTACGTTTTATTTGTAACCATGAATCGATCAATGTTAGACCACAACCATTAGAAATAGTGAAGTTCAAACCTGTCCGGATGTATACAGGGTATGAGGTTGAGCTACTCCGTGAATTTGATCAAGTTAGACATGAACATCGTTAGATACTGGCTCAGTGGTCTAACGGTTAGGGCATTCGCGCACAATACCGAAGGTCCTGGGTTCGAATCCTGCGGGGTGCAAGAGTCGTGGATGCGCACTGCTGATGAGTCCCATATCAGGACGAAACGGCCGTCCAGTGCTTCTAGGTTTCTAATGGTGGTCTAACATTGATCGATTCATGGTTAGGGTTAGGGTTCATGTTGCCATACCACATCAGCACAGAGATATAATTGTCAATTCAAATCCAATGGTAGAAGAGGTAGTACAGGTATTTGAAGTAATCGAAGAGGTTAGGATTAGAAGATATTCAAGAAATATGATTCAGTCAGAAAAGTTTAGAAAGTCAAAACTAGAGGGTTTATGGTTAACAATATATATATATATATATATATATATATATATATATATATTTATTTATTTATTTATTTATTTATTTATTTCCAAAGTTCTAGCTAGTATTTCATTCAGTTCAACTAAAACTTGACCATCATCTTCACTGATCTACCGCGTTAATTTCATAAGGCCGTTCGACTATTATCGCTTTACCTTATTAGCTACAGTTTTCTAAACCTCACTGAGATTCGGGGGATTTGTGTCAATTTAGCATTTAGATTGTTTAGGATAATATATATATATATATATATATATATATATATATATATATATATATATATATTTATATGTACATATATGTAATGACTTGAAACATTATTCCATATATTACTGAAATCATCAACCAATCATGGTTAAACCATCATTAGAAACATGGAATCACTGGAAGACGAACATTTCGTCCCGGTATGAGACTACTCATCAGTGCCAATGCGCATACACAACTCCTGCTACTCACACAGTATTCAAACCTAAGACCTTTGGATTTACGCGCGAACACTTATAACCTCTGGATCACTGAGCCCGATGTTAATGTCTAAGGATTTTTACGCAATCTCAACCATTTGTCTTCAGTAGAATTACTGCCTACACCCACCCGACATGGTTGAACACCACTGGTTACGCCTTATCACCACAGAACTCTGATAATTTCTTCCCTAGATTAATCAATCACACTTAGACATGAACACGGCTCAATGGTCCAGAGCTTATAAGCGTCCGCGCGTAAGACCGACGGTCCCAGGTTCTCAATCCTGTGAGTATAAAGGAGTTGTGGATGCGCACTGCCATTAACTGATGAGTCAGTCGTCCCACACTGTGATTCCGCATTTTTTTTTGCCTAATCAAATGATCAATTCATCTGTATAGTTTTTCGTTATAAAATGAAAAATTATTCATTAGAATATATTGATTATTTTTTTCTCACTTCTTTTTTTATTTATTTGTTCCTATTACAGGTGAAGTAACTTTTCTTTATCGTGCTAAAACAGTTGATCAATTTCTTATATTAAGTAAGTTGATGCTGCTGTCGTAGACCTCCTCTTTTAGAGTTAACATTAAGCTCATCAGATTTCTCAGGGTTTGACCATCTACCAGGGAAAATCGCTTACTGATCTAGAATATGCCGATGACATAGTTGTATTTGGTGAAGACGCTGACAAAATGCAAAGTCTTCTGACTACCAAAAGCAATAATCCGAGCATGTTCAGGATGCAGTTTTCCCCGCCGAAATGCAAAATGTTGCTTCAAGATTGGGTTGCATCGGCACCCTGGACTAGTGATAGGGAGTGAAGTAGTCGAAACTGTAGACCGCTTCACTTATCTGGGGATTCTCATCAGCGCTGATAGCCTGGTGGCTGGTGAAATCTCAGCTCGGATACAGAAGGCTCGATTGGCTTTTGCCAACCTGCGTCACTTATGGCGTAGGCGTGATATCCGTTTGCTGACTAAAGTACGGGTGTACTACGCTGTAGTTCGCTCCGTTCTACTATATGGGTGTGAAACATAGCCGTTAAGAGTAGAAGATGTTCGTAGGTTACTAGTATTCGATCACAGATGTTTAAGAAGCATTGCTCGTATATTTTGGGACCACCGAGTAAGCAATGCAGTTGTTAGAAAACGAGTACTAGGTAGCGATGGCAGATCAATATATGGAAGTGGTGAAACTTCATCAGTTGAGGTGGTTGGGACATGTCTTGCGTATGCCGAACCACCGATTGCCTCGACGAACTTTGTTTTGTAGTGTAGGAGTAGGTTGGAAGAAAGTTAGGGGCGGCCATACCAAAACATGGCAGAAATCCATGAAGTCATTGACTAGTGGACTTAGCCATGTCGGTAGGTGTCGACTACCTGGTTGGGGTCCGCGAGATGATAATAATCGATGGTTAGAGACCTTGAACGGCATGGCTCAGAATCGTTTGCAATAGAGCAAGTGCATCCATTCGTTGAGCTCTCTCAAATCCTAATCTTCTGGATACGTCAGCACCTCTTCCTTCCTCTTTCCAACCTTATCTCATTAAATTATACTTCTTGAATAATATCTTCAAACCCTAGTCTTCTTCATTAGCATTAATACCTCTACTATGTTCATCACTATCAGATTTGATTTGACATTTGCGTCTCTGTGCTCATGTGGTATGGCAACATGAACTTATGTACACACATACGTAGTCCTTACGTTGCAACTGACTGACTGACTGACTGCTGATGATGATAAGGCAGTGTTAGACATTTTTTAATGGTTGCCTTCGCTTTTCATTTCACCTTTTCTCTTTTTTATTCTTTTCTTTCCCCACCCCCGTCCTTCGCCGCCGCCATCAAAAAAAAAACAATTTAGAACAAGCTATTCTATCATTGGATCCAACATTGGAAGCACCTCCATTAAGAGATATACGTGATTTTTTATTGACCGCTCGTCATCATCTCATGTATCCACCACCATGTCGTGATTATATTGAAGAATATTGTCAATTGTATTTATGGGCAAGGCATGATTTAAATGTATGTATGTATGTATGTAGATTGTTTTTGCATTGCCGTTGTTCTGCGTTTTTTACGTGCGTATATGAAGGCGGATGTTTTATTTTTAGCTCCTGGCTGGCTGTCTGCCCCTACACCGTTGGAAGAGTTCTAGTTTGTCCGGAGGGGTAGGGAGGGTAGGGCATCGGCCTTATTATTATTATTTCCTAAAGAATTCAACTTGCATTATGTCAGTGCGACATAGGTGGAATGAAAAGCATGACTGCGCTAGCTGTGCGCGCTGATTGGTTAATTTCCTATCTAATCAGCGTTTGATCGATTCTTGGAGAAAACAGCGGTAGAAAATTCTCGTGTTTTGCTAGCTGTACTCTGATTGGCTAAATCTAATCCAGTCGATCATCACGTGAATTACTATCCAGAAGCTTCTCATGTAAATACAGACAGACAGAAAGATACAACGCAGAACATCGTACATAAGTATATCAGTTCAGGTGGCCATACCACATCAGCACAGAGATGCAATTGTCAGTTCAAATCCAAGAGTAGAAGTATTAGCAGTAATGGAGAAGATTAGGGAGTGAAGATATAATTCGAAAAGTATAATTCAGTAAGATAAATTTACAAGGAGAAAGATAGAGATGATGAGGAATACAGAAGGTTGGAATTAGAGAGAACACAAAGAATGGATGCACCTGCGCCATTACAAACGCAGGTTCGGAGAAAGCTATCGGCGACCAACCCAAAAAACCCAGAAGAAATCCATGAAGTCAATGACAACTAGACTGAGTCATGCTTGTCTTCTACTGTTGGTAGACTGAATTCAGCTAACCAATATCACTCAGTCTGATAGTCAGTGACTTTATAGATCAAGTAAATATCACACTTTTAGGTTATTGATTCTTCGGCCTACATAACCATCTTACGAAGCAATGCTCGTATATCTTGGGACTATAAAGTAAGCAGTGCTGGTTTGAGAAAAAAAAAAGTGGTATTAGTCAAGGATGGCTAATCAGTTAGTAGTGGATATTTTGTCAGTTGATGTGTTGATGTATGTATGCCTAACCATTGACTACTTCGATGAGCCAATGTTTTGTGATTTAGGAATAGGCTGGAAGAGAAACCTAGGAGCAGTCAAAATACAATATGGCACTAATCTATGAAGTCACTAGTAAATAAATTAAACCATGTTAGTAGGTGTAGAATAATACCTGGTTATGGTCCGCGAGACTATAGCGTTGGATGTCACGACTCAAAGATGGTGTGCAAATAGAGAGTATTCAATGTAATGTTTTCGTTTTTAATTGACTCAGAGTGTAAATTTGCAATCTTCCTCGCTTGCCTCACTCTTCTCAATTGGTGACGCTGCCTCTACACCGGATGAAGATCCCATGGCTTCGGGAATTTTAAGACGGAGATGTAAGGAGCTTCTTGAAGGTGTTTGAAGCCGTGGCGGAGCTGGTAGGAGTCAAGGAGCAGAGCGCGAAGGTGGTGGTGTTGGAAACTCTACTAAGAAGCACGGCGACAGCGGTGTACGATGGTGTGGAGGACGCGGAATGGGAAGTGGTGACGGAAAGGCTGCCGGTGGATAGGCAGGACGCACTGCAGAAGTTCTGAGAGGCGAGACTGACGGTGGATGGCGACCCACTCGTACTGGCTGCGGAGTTGACAAGATTGCTGCGCCGGGGTCTGCCAAATTTGGATGAGGAGTCGCAACCACAGCTGCTAGCGTCGCAATTCATTAAAAGTGTGCCTGCAGAGGTTGCCCAACAGTTGAGACTGGTGAACGCCGCACAACCAATGGAAGTCACCGAGCTGGCAAAAGTAATGAGACAGCTGATGAACCCAACAGTCGCCTCGGTGGCATGTGAGAGTCAGGCTGATGACGTCGCGAAGAAGATAGAAGAATTACAACGCCAGGTGGCAGCGTTACGAATAAAGGTTGGAAGAAATAATAAATGCTATATTTGCGGAGGAACCGAGCATTGGAAGAGGAATTGCCCAACAAGACGAAAACGAAAACATACATACATTGAATACTCTATTTGCACACGATGTTTGAGTCGTGACTTCCAACGCTCCATCCTTCTTCCATTCCTGTTGGTACTACTCCATTTACTTCTTGCTACATTTTGCTCCATTTGCTTTCCATTTTCCTCTTCTGATCGTGCGAATTCTTCTTCTTCTTTCACGTCGCTTCTTATACTACTACTTATATCGTTCGTATAAGTAGCACACACCACTGTAGTACTAGTGTTTTAAAATCACTGAAGAAAAGAGATTATCTATTTTTTTTTGTACAAAAATTTTGTTTTTCTCCCCCTCTTTTTAGCCTTTCGGTGAATTAGAATATAAACGATTTTGTGAATTACAAACCAATTTATTAGAAGTGTAAGTTGATCAATACAACATTTTTTTCCGCTTAACTTGTTTTAATCTGTACAATAATTTTTCTATATGAGCCTCCTTCTTCTTCTTTGTTCTCTGAGTTGAATATTTTGATTGTGAAGCTTTCATTGTTCTCCTCTTGAATATCATCAATATGGCACACACGAACTTCAGATAGAGAGGAAGTGAAGTATTTGAATTTCTCCGCCAAGTATGACTGACTCATAGCTTGTACTACTGTTCACCTCAAACCTGATTGGTTACTGTTGACCTTAATTAAAGCTGTTGTTGTTTGCACCGTAGTATCGATTGTATCCCCCCCCCTTTTTAATCTGTTGCTTGATCCTTTATGTCGCCTATGATTTTTTCCAATGATTGGTTGGTTGTTCAGACGAAGAAGAAGAACAAGGAAAGCTCTACAACCGAAAACATTCAGCTCAAAGAATGAAACATCACCATAACCAATCCCACTTGAGCTAAAACATTTCCTCCACTATCTCTGATTCTTAAATTCGTTAGTAATCAGTTCATGACAAAAATCGATACGATACTTGATCAAAACTTGTTATTATTTAGATGAAAATGAAAGTAAATACTATAAATTTAAGCAATTAAGTCTATAAACTATTGATGTGTATAGTTTGATTGTATAATGAACTTCAGGTGCATCCATTCTTTGGATTCTCTCAAATCTTAATCCTCTAAAATTCTTCATCACTTTTATCCTTCTGTTTTTTAAGTTGATGTCATTAGATTATACTTCTTGAATCATTATCTTCAAGCCGTAATCTGTTTCCAATTACTGCTAATACTTCTACTGTGGTGTGAGCTACTTATAAGTAGTATATGACGTGAGTGTCAACGTAATGTCTGGCAGCAGAAGAAGATAGGGGAAGATCAAGAAAGGAAGAGTGGGGGGAACACAATGGAATTTGTGTATAAAATGCTTGAATGGTGACAATGGATTGTTGATGTTTTGCAACAGGAACAGTCCAGTTCGATATGATGAACTGATATTTTGCAAATGAACGATTTACGATATGGTTTTACTCTGGTTTTACTGAGTAACTCTGTAATTTTCGTTAAATACAATCCGGTCGCCCCACCTGTGTTCTCGTTCACTACACTACTACCAGCTCTACGACAATGGGATTTGAATTGACAATTTGACATCTGTGTGTTAATGTGGTGGTGTTGGTATGACAACTTGAACTAGTGAGAGATGTTAGGAGGTGTACGAAGGATTTGTTTGCAACCGATTCGGTTTCACATGCTGTTACGGGTATCAAGGTGGATGTCACTTCCCGGCTGCCCACACCGTGGGAAAGTGTTTCTTGGGGAACCTGAAAAGGAAGGTATATTAGTGTTGGTCTTCGAGACTTGGAAGCGTGACCGCAGAACCCAACGGACAACTGCTTGAGGCCGATCACGCACGGGTTTTTTATGAGAAGTTTTCAAAGTATTAGCTCCGCTCTTGTTTAAAAGGCCTTAACGCCAGAGATAGAAATCTGTGAGGTAAGGTGGGGTGTAACATTTTTTAACAGTTGTAAGTGAATCTATAGAAATATAGAACAGATTGTATCATAAATTGATCTGAGATTTCAAATTACTAAACGAAGTTCTGTAATGAACCAGAGGTTCGAAGATTAAAGAGACGGAAATAATTTTAGCTTCAGATATATTCAATGACGCAATGGGTTACGCTATCTATTTTCATATTAATGAAAGGGGATTTGTGGAGATTGTATTATCTGCATAGTTGAGATCATGAACTGATCTTCAGTAGATCACCATCAAAAACCTGAAGGGATTCATTGGATGGCCGTTCCATCCCTAGTATAGGACTCCTCACCAGAGAGCTTCTGTCTGTGTCGAGTAGGCGACACTTGTCTGCCACAGACAACGGATAAAGGTCGTGCAACATCATGGCTTGATTGAAATTAGACACTCATATCATTGCATACCGACTCAGTGGTGTAGAGATTAAGCATTTCCTTATCAGATCAAAGGTTCTTGGTTCGATTGTCGCTTCTAAGGCTCGTGGGTGTACACATATGCTTTGAAAACATACCTTACCAATTCCTAGCTAATCAAATTGCAAGTGATTTAAACTTTTTACATGAAAACCGAAAATTAAGCATAATAGTCAAAACTAGAATGGAAGAATAATCTATAAGCTCACATATATATATATATATATATATATATATATATATATATATATATATATATATATATATATATATATATATATCTATATCCGTCTCGTAAACTTTGCGAAAACTCATCATTTATGATCCTTATTCTCTAATCATCCAATATTTATCCGTTCCAAGTGTCTAACTGACTAAATACTGATAAGTTCCGCTTGATTCTTGTTTACTTACGCCTGTTAACCAACGCTCTATTGAAGTCTAGGCGCCCGACTAACATTCTCTAACCTACTCTTTCTTGAAACTTCCTTTCTAGTTTTGTTTTACCCAACTGCTGTTCATTCTCTTCATGTCTACTTTCAATTTCCCGACGTCATATGTTCATTGGTTTCTCTCTCTCTATTCCCTTTGACCTTGAGGATTCCAAATGAGCGCTTGTCATGTGATGCACACTTGATTCTTGATAAACTTTTAATCTTAAATACAAATTAATCATTATTATTATTATTATTATTACTTTAATTGTTCAAGAGTCAATCGTACAAGCTCATGGCCTGTTTATTCATCCTCAGGCAGTGCAACAAATCCAACTATTAGTCATCATACTACATTCTCACCAGAACAATCGTCATCATCTTTATCAAAATTACATAAAAGAACACAGTTGAATTTTAAAATGAAATTTCCATCATTTTTATTTAAAGCAACACAAGAACAACATACACAACAACCACGTACAGTTCATAAGACAGTATTAGCAACACCTACTACTACTAATACTACTACAATCCCAACATCCGCATCCTCATCGTTAACAACGCATATCCCTCTATCCACAATTACATCATCAGCAGCAACAGTGACAGCGACGGTGACAACAGCATCCACCTTTCCAATTCATCATCAATCACGTGTTGTGAAAGTATTATCTAAAAAAACTTCTAGACAAAATCATAGTTTACATTTAAAACGTTTTTCATCATCCTCATCAGCATCATCACCAGCCGCAGCATCAGCATCATCACATTTAACACATCGTAAAAAACATGAATTCTCTATGGAATGTGAAGCATTAACCAATACTGACAAACATCATCATGATACTACTGCGATTACTGATACTGTTCATGCAACAACAACAACACATCATCTATTACTTACCAATGGTGATGCAATGATTGATAATCATGACGATGATCATCAAATCGACACAATGAAAACAATGCCCACATTGACAACAATCGGTCATCATCAGCAACATCATCAACATCGTCGTGATAGTTGTGACAGTGATGGTTCACAAACAGCATTAATTCATTTAGATGAACAGCCGCCTATTATGAATAGTGTTGTACGAAATTATCCATTGAAAAATGATGCATATATTATGATTATGCCGCCAACTGATATGAAACAATCTATACGATTTAATAAAGGTTAGTCAATCAGTCAGGTGGTTCAAGTATAGATTGATTCTTCTAATCGATAGTATGTATCACTTTTCTGGTATAATTTTGTCCTATACTTTATAAAACTGTGAAATATGACCGGTAAGAGTAGAAAATATTCATAGGTTATTGGTATTTGATTATAGATGTGTTAAGAAGCACATTGCTCGAGTATCGTGGGACAGACAATCGAGTAAGCAATGGTATAGTTAGGAAACGAGTGTACTGCGCATTAGTTCGCTCCGTCTTACTTTATGGCTGTGAAATATGGCCAGTGAGAGTAGAAGATATTCGTAGGCTACTAGTTTTTGATCATAGGCGTCTTCGAAGCATTGCTCGTATATGGTGGTACACCCGAGTGAGCAACGCTGCTATTAGGAATCGGGTGCTAGGTAGCGATGGCAGATCAATGGATGAAGTGGTGAAACTTCATCAGTGGAGATGGTTGGGACATGTGTTGCGTATGGGTAACCACCGACTGCCTCGGAGAGCTTTGTTTTGTGTTGTAGTAGTAGGTTGGAAGAAAGTTAGGGGCGGCCATACCAAAACATGGCAGAAATCCATGAGATTACTGACATTTGGACTGAGTCATATTGGTAGATGTAGACTATCTGGTTGAGGTCCACGAGACGATAGTTACCGATGAACGACATAGCTCAGAATCGTTTGCAATGGCGCAGGTGCATCCACTCTTTATCGTCTCTCAAATTCTGATGTTAAGGATTCCTAACCGCTTTTATCTTTGTTTTTTTAAACAATATCTTCAATTCTTAATCTTCTCCATTACTACTCATACTTCTATTACCTCTGCTACTATGGGATTTGAACTGACAGTTGCGTCTCTGTGCTGATGCGGTACGGCAGCTTGGACTTATGCACTCATGAACGGAGTTCTACGTGATACGGTTGAGAGTAATGTGAGAGTCTGCTTTTTCTCACTAACTAGTCTTACATGACCATGCATGTACGGTGTGTTAGTTCTACTCACCACTGTCTTCTCATGGTCGGGGTGTTGTTTATGAGATTGAGATATTGATGGGTGAGTGTCCACCTGGGGCTTAAACTGGGCTAGTGGGTACGGACGATTCACCTAGAGGAGTTGGAAAACCGATTTCCCAATCTGTGGTGCACACATGGGCTCTTGGGGCGAACGATCCTGATTGAACCTATTATTAGTCACCAGTTATCATAGGACTGCATCTCCTAACGTTAGCTAATCATCAGAAACCTGCAAGCACTCAACAGCCGTTTTATCCCAGTATGGAACTCTCTAACAGTGCACATCCACGGCCCCGTTTCTGGAGACTCAAACCCAAGACCTTTGGTCTCATGTGCAAACGCTTAGCCTCTAAACTGCTGAGCCAGCACCTAACAGTGTTAATGTCTAACTAATCAATCTGAGGATATTTTTGCGCTACCTCACCGATAGTCTTCAGTAGTTATTGCATACTCCTGATAGGATCGAACTCCACTAGTCACGTCTTCTCACTAGAACTGCGAGAATTCCTGCACGCAGCTAATTACTAGTGAGAATATTTGAAAATCTTGGGTGTACTCATTGCTAGTGTAAATTGTGTCTCAGTTATCCAAGATCTTTAAACCATGTTGATATCAAAAATGACTGAGATAGAGGATTAATTTATTGGTTACAATACACTGAAATGTTTAACTACTAGGTCAGAAGTTTGCATCCTATTCCCTGATTCCTCCTTAGCTCCCTGGTTAACATAACTGTGGCCACACCATACATAAAGTATCTGTCAAACTCAATGTGGTGATCGATACTCATTAATTAGCTTAGAAGTATTGATTGGCGAATAAGTCAATCGTTTTTCTAAGGTAATGTTTCTTTCCTTGTGTTGGGATATAAGATAAATTCTGTTATAATAGGTAATAGATAGTGTATTGGATACTACTCATATAGTGGCTTATAAGTAGTATGCAGTGGAGCATTGCCTGGAGGTTGCTACCATAGAAAGAGGAGTGGTAGGAAATCTGAATTCAAATCGTGATCAGTTGATGATGTCGAAAGTGAAATATCCATCATTGGATAGTTGAATTGTAGATCAACAGACTCCAACTCAACCGCTTTTAATGATTAAGTTTTCAGGGCCACTTAAATGTCATGATGTAATTAATGAAGATGTCAAGGTCAGATGAAATAGTAAGGAAGACATGGTTTACTGATAAACTGTGTACAATTTATCTCAGACTCCTAATTATTCTATTCTGGTCTTCAAAACACACTTTAGTCACGACATACATTCGCACCGGAGCACTCTGCTTTCCGTTAGTAACTTCTAAGTGATACTCCATTGAATACTACTTAAATGTCACGTTGTGAGTAGTAGTATCCACCCTCAGTAATTTAGATCACTGATATACTCAAAAATTCCTGATTATTTAGCAAGTCGACTTCACTCTCACTCATCTCAGCTTAATTTCATTTTAATTTTTTACTAGGTATGGAAAACGAAGGTGTAAATTGTTGAAGAATTTATTTTGTAAATACATTTTCAATGTAAAACATTTTACCCTTTTCAACTATTCTTACTTTTACTGTTTATAAATCAATTAAAAGCCGAGTATCTTTGTGTATTATAGTTCATCTTTACACTAGTATTACTGTTGTATAATTTTCAAATTTTTTTTTGATTAACATTCCAAACTACTCACCAAGTAGTAGGGATAATCTTACATAAATATTTGTAAATATTTCTATAATTCTTTAGTTTTTAATTTTTCTGAATAATAAATATTATTTGTATAAATTTGCTGAACTCTGCCAGTTACAAGTAGTCATAGAATGTTTTTTTACAACGCAATTCAAAACTTGATAGTTCCATGTTCTTGTGTAGGTTGATGTTGAGAAATAGTTTGTCCAAGACATGAAGTTATGAATGGATGACGATATTCTTTAATAATTTTCAATGTAGCAACTTATCATAAACCTAATAGTTCAACACTACGTTATGTATCTTCTTAGTATTTCATACTGCTTATTCTAAGCCAATCAGAAGTGTCCCAATGTGAAGGTCATTGGATGACCTTTCAGAAAATGTCCTAAACGATGATTGTATATTATTGGTTAAGAAGTTACTTTATTTTCTAAGGTGGTGACGACGTGTATATGCGGACGAGTATTATTTTTTCGTCTCATTTGACAATCGAATCGACCAATCTTTTCAGGTTTTAATGTCTTTTTCGTGTGCAATCTGACAGTTAGTTTGAAGATGCTAGAATTAATCGTCTTCAGATTTCAGCACGCGTTGCATCATAACTGCTTATTTAATTTGTTTACAAACTTTTTACTCTAGTTAAATAGTATTTTTTATTATTTGACTTCATTGGTCATATGATTAGATTTATTTCGTTGATTTGACAAAGTTGATTTCTCCTCAATTTTATCGATTGAATATTGTACAAACATTGTACAACAACATTTTAATCTCATTTGTATGATGATTGATTCTCTTAGCTTACGTTGTCAATTTCTATTGTTAAATAAATTAATTTATGCAATTAATGAGGATTATATGTGAATGCATTTATAACTTTTGGTCGAATGAGAGCTTATGGCGAACTGTCACCGGAATTCTTTACTTCAAGTGGTGTGCGTCAGGGATGTTCACTCTCTCCATTCTTGTTTAATTTTATCATAGATATGCTCCTAGAAATAACCTTATCCTCGTGTGAATTTTCAGGAGTAGACCTTCTACCAGGATGCTCGCTTATCGACGATATCGATGATATAGTCCTACATGGTGAAGACGCCGAAAAAATGCAGTCTTCTGACTACCCTAAGCAACAATGCTAGCATGTTTGGGATGCGGTTCTCACCCTCGAAATGCAAAATGTTGCTTCAGGATTGGGTTGCATCGGCACCTGAACTAGTTATAGGGAGTGAAAAAGTCGAGCGTGTAGACCGCTTCACTTATCTTGGGAGTCTCATCAGTGCTGATGGACTGGTGACTGACGAAATCTCAGCACGGACAGAGAAGGCTCGATTGGCTTTTGCCAACCTGCGTCACTTATGGCGTAGGCGTGATATCCGTTTGCTGACTAAAGGACGAGTGTACTGCGCAGTAGTTCGCTCCGTCTTACTTTATGGCTGTGAAACATGGCCAGTAAGAGAAGAAGATATTCGTCGGTTATTGGTTTTCGATCATGGGTGTCTTCGAAGCATTGCTCGTATATCGTGGGACACCCGAGTGATCAACGCTGTTATTAAGAAACGGGTGCTAGGTAAGAATGGCAGATCAATAGATGAAGTGCTGAAACTTCATCAGTTGAGGTGCTTGTCGGGGTGATGTGTTACGAATGCTTAACCACTGACTGCCTCGACGAGCTATGTTTTGCAGTGTAGGAATAGGTTGGAAGAAAGTTAGGGGCGGCCAGACCAAAACATGGCACAAATCCATTAAGTCACTGACTAGTGGACTGAGTCATGTTGGTAGATGTAGGCTACCTGTTTGGGGTCCGCGAGACGCAAGTCACCAATGGTTAGAGACCTTGAACGACATGGCTCAAAATCGTTCGCAATGGCGCCGGTGCATTTATTCTTTGTGTTCTCTCAAATTCTAATCTTCTGGATTCTTCAACACCTCTAGTTTTGACTTTCTAAACTTTTCTCACTGAATCATACTTCTTGAATAGTATCTGCTAATCCTAACCTCTCCGATTGCTTCTAATACCTTTACTACCTCTTCTAGTATTGGATTTGAATTGACAATTATATCTCTGTGCTGATGTGGTATGGCAACATGAACTGACGTACTTATGTACAAAGTTCTACGTTGCATCTGACTGTTGGTTAGATAGATAGATAGTCGAGTCGAATGTGTTTCACCTGAATAAATATCATCAGATTTATTGATCTTGTGTGTTTAGTTCTACTGATCTACTTACTCATCAAGTATTTAGTATTCTGTAAGGTCATAATTGGAAATCAGCTTATTTTTATGTTGTGAAAGTTTTATATAAACTCGATTTAATTTGATTTGAAATGGTTTGGATTATTCCGTTGTTGATATGTTGATTGATTTCTATGAAACTCAACAATCTACACAGTCCTTTGATGCCAGTTATTATGTGCTGATTAACAGCTACATTTGTGAGGAGTTTGTCAGAGTTCTAGTGATAAACCATATCATCGAATGTGAGCAGTTGCCTACCGAAGACAACAGATGATGGTCGCACGATATCATGGATGATGTCTGGGTGATCTGGAGGTCAGGCGTCGCCGTGCGATACTGAAGGTCCTAGATTCTATTCATGCGTATATAGGTCATGTATGCACACGTCTGAATCGTCCCATACTAGGATGAAACCTCGATTCAGTGCTTCCAGGTTTCCAATGGTTATCTAACATGTTGATCGATTCATGATTTCAATGAAATAATTTGTATTTATGAGTAATAAGTAACAGTTTAAAATCCAAAATGTGCATTTCGATGAATTCCCGACTCGTATGAACTTAAATCCGATTAGGAATATAGAACTCATTAACGCTTGTTACCTGCAATGGAGCATAGGCAGCCAGCCGACCAGCATTCTCCAACTTACGCTGTCCCTAGGATTCCCTTTCCAATTCTGTCCAAGGTTTATTCTTCTCATGTTTTTCTCCATTTCTCGGCGTAATGTGTTTTCGGCCTTCCGCTTTTCCTTTGATCTTGAGGGTTCCAGGTGAGGGCTTGTCGTGTGACGCAGTTGAGTGTTTTCCTCAATGTCTTTTCCTCCTGAATTTTTCCGCTGGAATCTGGTTTGTTCTCGCCTACAGTAGATTGCTGCTGATGGTGTCTGGCCAACGTATCCGAAGTATTTCGTGTAGACAACTGTTAATAAATACTTATGTCTTTCGAACGATGGCTTTCGTTGTTCTCCAAGTTTCCGCCTCATACAGTAGAACTGTCTTGACATTTGTATTGAAAATTCTAACTTTGGTGTTTGTTGATAGTTGTTTTGAGTTCCGGATGTTCAATTGTAGAAATACTGTCCTTGCTTTGCCGACCCGTGCCCTCAAATCTGCATCAGATCCACCTTGTTTATCAGTGATGCTGCCTAGACATGTAAAGGCTTTACGTCCTTCAAGTGTGATTTTGTTGGCGCATGTTTTTTGTACCGGAGAATCTTGTGTATGTATGTTGAGACCTACTGCTGCTACACTGGTCGTCTTCTCTTGCATTTGTTGTTGCATGTACCACAGGAGAGCCAGATCATCTGCAAAATCCGAATCGTCCAGCTGCTTCCTAGTTTTCCACTGTATCCCGTGCTTCCCTCTAGATGTTGACGTCTTCGTAATCCAGTCGATCACCAGGAGAAAGTGAAAAGCTGGGAGTAAGGAACTTTGCCTGACGCCGATCTTTAGTTCAAACAAGTTTGTCAGTTATCGTCCATGCATGATTTTGCAGTCTAATCCATCACAAGAATTTGTATTATGTTGACATTACGTTTCGGGTAGATATATAATGGTGTCGAGGATGCATACATAGTGTGATCTTCTACATGCTATCGAATGCTTCCTCGTATTAGAAGCAGCTGATGTACAGTGGTGAATTTCATTTAACGGATTGTTCCACAATGATCCCTAATGTTGCCCTTTGGTCAGTACACGATCGATCCTCACGTTGTGGTGCGAACTACTTATAAGTAGTATATAACGTGAGTGTCAACGTAATGTCTGGCAGCAGAAGATGGGGAAGATCAAGAAAGGAAGAGTTAGAAAACAATGGAATTTGTATGAAACATGAATAGTGACAATCGATTGATGTTTGGCAACAGGAACAGTCTAGTTCCATAGGATGAACTGATCTTTTGCAAATGAACGATTTACGATATGGTTTTCCGATTTTACTGAGTAACTCTGTAATTTTCGTTAAATACAATTCGGTTGCCCCACCTGTGTTCTCATTCACTACAACGTAATGTAGACTGTTGATCTCAAAGTTGGGCATCTACGAAGTCCTTCATTCTGTTTAACAACAACCAGGTGAATCAAGTCTGTGCCTGGTATTGAGAGAAGAGTGGTACCTCTGTAGTTCTCACACTTGCTGAGATCGCCTTTCTATGGTATTTTGATCGGGTATCCTTTCCAGTCTGTTGGTACTCGTTCTTCATCACAAATCTTGTTGAAGAGTATCTGGAGTATATTTGCAGTTACCGCTAGGTCTGCCTTCAGTGCCTTTTCTAGAATGTATTATGGCCCCATCGCTTTGCCGCTCTTTATTTGTCTGATGGCTATGCCGTTCTCATCAGCTTTTTGTGGGCCAAAATTGATTGGGATGTCCGAAGAAGCTGCTTCGATGTTGAGTCGGTTCGGTGGTGGTGATCGACTCAATAGTCCTTAAAGTGCTCTACTCACCTGTTTCGCTGTTCTTCAGTGTTGCTGATTACTTTGCCTTCTGTTTTACGCCTGCACATAAACATGTCAACTTGATATGCTTGAACTATTACGAGTTTACGTAGTCGGAAAACGAGAGCGAGGATCCGGCGACACGACATGCTACTCATATCCGATTATTCCAACCCCCATAATGAGTAAAAGAAGACAAGACTTGGTATGAAGTAGAACCTGTATTCTACAAGCATCCAGAAAGTACGAGGTCCGAATCCAGAAGAAAATCAGGATCCTGGACTAGGGATCCGGGTCCTGGTCCCGATCATAAAACGTTACAGATAATGCGTATTTATACATTTTTTCGAATAGGAATAGCATCGAAGTCTGTAACATTGACACTTATGGCGACCAATAGTAAAAAACATTCAAAGTGACATTGTTAGTCAGTACAACCAATAAGAAACAACATTTGCGTACGTGACATTGATATCTAGGACGACTATAAAATTGACCAGTAGGAATTGACCAATAATTCTCTTAGGATATTAGATGAATATCCTAACACCTTCCTTGCTTCTCACTAATCGGTCTGGTTTCCAACGAGCTTCTTTGTTGTATCGTACAATTGTCTCATGTTTCCTTCTCTTGCAGTCTTTTCCGCCGTCATTGCTAGATCTTCCACATATTTTCGTTTGTCGGCTACGATGCTCTTCTTCACTTTCCTGTTTTCTTCTGTGTATTCAGCTTGTGCCTTAACTTTCTCTGCTCTTGTTCGGCTGATGTTGATTGCTGCCTTCTTGTTCTTTCTTCCTTGAATTTTATCAAGAGTACCAACAAAGTTCCATTCCTGTGATGGAACTTCTTGTGGTTCAGAACCTCCTGACATGTTGAAGTGATTATCTCCTTGATCTATTTCCAGTTGTTCTCAATGGTAGTTTCCTCTCCATTGAGTAGATCCTACAAATCCTGGAACTTATTGCTCAGGACGTTTTATTGATGCAGATTTGATTGATTTGGTTCTTTGTGATGTGATCTGAAGAAATCGCTGTAGCTTTGTGAATACGTTTGCGTGAGAATACGATGCTACCTATGACCAGTTTGTTGAAGGCACATATGCTTGCAAATCTTTCACCGTTTTCATTCCTTTCTTCCA